CAAATTAGCACACCGTGCGCATGAACCCATTCAAAGTCCTTATGAAGTGTATGTATATATATATACGGGTTTTTGATGGTCGGGTTCAGTGAAACCATTTGAAATCATTCAGTACATCTGAGTTGATCTCTCTCGAATAAATCAGACTTACAGCAGAGAAAGCCGCTTAGAAATCAGGTTACAAAACATACCGTGGAATCATATCTGGATTGATTATAAACGATACAACGTTATATGTATATATATATATAATACTTATAATTCTGTTATCTGTGTAAAAAAGACCAGCTCATAGAGCTACTTGGGAGCTCGTTTTATCTAATCTTTCACTATTTATATCTCTGTTGTCCACGGTGAAGGGGGAATGGATGTTAGAGACACAATGTTGCAAAGTCAGTTAGTATGAACGTACGCATCGCTTTTTGAATGGTTCTTTGTTACTGAGTTGTTTGACCAACCCCAAACACCCACAAAAACTAACAAAGATAAAATTTCTGGTGTTTAATCAGTAGTAGCAGGCTTTATATGGCTAGCCTTTCTGTGCAATTATAAACCGAGTTGCTCAATAAAAATTCCTCACGCATCAACAATGTTCGGAGCGTCTGCAATGTACGTCCTAATTATTGTTGGGTGTTAGACCACTCAGAAGCTGCCTAGTGATTTACAACGAAGCAACAAATGAAAACCAGCGAAGAGAGCTATTTTAGCATATTTTAATAATATTGAACCAGGATCTGTACAGTAGACAAGCAATTTTCACAACCTCAACAAATTTCGTCATGCCTCTCCAGATGGAACAGGTCATGAAATCTTTACAACGCTGACGTTTGCTTTCTGAGTGGTGAGGCTACAACAAGTTTCCGACGTTTTATCCTTCAAACTGTTGATTCAATCAGAATATTCACCTGGTCGAGACATTGATCAATCTGATGTTGTCCAAGTTCACTGTCCGCAGTTCCAGAACCCGTTCAAATCCGTTCAGTGTTCTGTGGTTTGCTGCTCCAAGTTTGTTTACCTCGATCGTGGGTTTGAACAATCGAACCGTCACCATGTTGGGGGAGTTGCAATCAATTGATCTTGCAACCAAATAATGTTAGTTGTATGATTCATAATTACAACTAGATTGCATAAAATCTAAAGACAAAATAAACTTTATAAGAAGGATCATTCACGATAGTCCAACTTACTTGCCTATATGCTAAGGAAACTCCACATCCGATTTTAAATTACAAAAGAAGTATAAATGTCGGTAGACCTTGAACAATCAGTTGCTTAATTGTTTATTTTCCCCTTTGAACCCATAAATATTATCTCTAATTGCAGAAATGAAAGTTTGTGCAATACATTGGTTTCATAATACTTTCACGCCTACCAATGGAAACAGTTTAAATCATTTGTCCCCGTAAATTGTCGGGATATATTTACTCTTTTTTGGAATTTCATCCTTTCCATTGGTGATAAAGTCAATCATTTTATTTCTGTTGTTTGATTCCCTCTAGGTGTTTCTGCGCAGTTTATCAAATCCTGACGATTCAAAGTCCTCCGTAGACGGCAAACATCGTTCCTCTATAAATCCTAATGCGACAACTTCGAGTACCCAACCCCCGCCACCGCCACCACCACCACCTCTTCCCTCCTCTTTATCAGTACCTGCTAGATCACCAGTTTTGGGAACAGCAGCAACATCAAAACCCCCACCCCCACCTCCTTTATTACCAGTGGGTTCCTCGTCTGTCATTACTAATACAGACACTGAGGCAAAGCTTCATTCTCCTGTTCGTAAAAAAGCAGAGGATGTGTTTGAAGAAGATCTCCCACTTCCTCCACCCCCAGATTTGGGTAACACTTCACTTAGTCCACAATCTGCTGGAAATACCTGCCCCCTTATGCAGAGTGTACTGAATCGTTTCAACCACGCTGAGTCAGAGGGGTTGGGGTCGTTTGCAGATCATCTACGTGAAGCGGTAGAGCGTCGCAGACGAAAAATTGAAATGAACTTTTCCGAAGAAGACGAATTCGACGAGGATGACACATCTCGTTCCACGTGTGGCAAACCGCCCAGAGCACAAAGCACCCTCTACTCTACCACACCTCATCAATCTATGGGTTTAACACCATCCAAATCAATTAGAACAGTGGAGGTGTCCAGTCCAAATCGTGTAGCGAATCGTGTAACAGCCATTTCAAGTCCAGTGGAAGAGAATTCATTTAGAGCAGCGGCGGAAAAATTTCATGCCAAAGCCCTGGCTCGAACGTTAGGTATGACAAGCACAATACCACCCCCGGACAACTTCAAGGACACCATCACTCCGCAACCAACTTCACCTAAACCGCCAGTAGCCCCAGCCAAGCCTCCAATCGCATCGAGCGCGGATGGACCCAAGTATGCCGGTTCCACCTTGGGCCGTATCAACGGGGCCTCGAAATTATTTTTTGCATATGGAATGAATAGTCAACAGAATGGACAATCGTTAAACGGAAATAATGGCTTTCATGGTATAAACAGCTTGCGTGCCAATTTTGAAAAACCATCAACTGGGTCATCATCTATTCCACCACCTCCACCAATCTCAACCCGATCACCGTCCAGTTTCAAAAGTGGACTATAGCTCCACAATTTCATAACACAAACAATTCGTTGAGATTGTATCCCTGTGGTTAATATTGTTCATATTTAGGTAATTCAATATTTTGCACAGCCGTTCAACGCCTACCTTTGTTTCTCCTTCTCCCTCACTCCTTGCAAACTTGTCCACGTTCTTCTGGACTGCAACAAGCACCGCATCACTGTCAACATAGGAAGCTAGTTGTTCTCGTTCTATGTGCCTTGTGGCAACCAACAATCAATAGAACCATCTATGAAAACTGGTCTTGTTGGTTGGACGTCGTACAACCAGCAATCTATTGTCCACTTTATGGCTCTGCCATTTTGCGATGAACTCATTCCAAACAGTAGCAACAGTATCAGCATTCAACTTGGTGCGTTGTGCAATCAAGGAATATCGATAGGCATGAGATTTTCCGATGTCATTTCGGCAACCCTAAGAAGACGACTACAATCTCCTTTCGCATCATCGCGGCCGTCTCATTCC